CCATCAAGTCTTGAGTTACTGCTTCGATGCATCATTACGTGTAGCGCATCGAGGTGTACTGCGGGATCTGCTATGCGTTGATAGTTATGACGACCAGAAACAACCAGGACCATGCAGAGACGAAGGTGTCTCCTCGCACTGGACCGAGTCCAGGCATTCTTCGGAGCGCAGGTGGGCTTCACAACCCTGCATAACTACAGCGCCGACGACATCATCTCGGTACATTCCTGAACCCTCCCAGACCTACAGCCCTCCTGAACCCTCCAGCGACGGTTTAAATGTCCAACACATCGCTTCGTCGGGAGTCCGCTCGACACCTTGTAGATGCGATTGTTTTGCGGGCGACGACTCGAATTTCTTGAGTTGAAGAAGGACGCTTCGGGTACACAGCGCGGAACGCTTGGTAATAACATCCGACAACCATCGTGCCCTTTGCACCACTTGGAATTGATGAGTTTGGATTCTCGAGCGACAAATGCATCAATAACAAACATTCTTGATGATGGCATCGAGTCTCGACGCTTTCAAGTCAAATTCAACCGTGTTGGCTGCATCGTCGGTTGTTGTTGCGGTACCCCAACCAGGACAATTCATGGAGAAAGTAGCTCAATGTATTTAGTTAGAACCTCGAAGTGTCTACGTATACATCGTCCGAAGGGTCCAGGACATGCAACCCTTCGCCGCCTGAATCCGATCGTGCGGTTGGCTTCAAGCGCCCTTTTCCCTCCACTTTTTTTTACGTCGTTGCACCCAAAATATTAATGCAACGCTCAAATCGCAATACAACTATTGAATAGAATGCACGAAATATTAAAGAACGACCACCCACGCTAAAGATATAAGTTCAACATGAACGCGCCAATCAGCGGCCAGCGAAGGTGTAAAGACCGTTTCGTCATCATTGGATCTTGGCCGTCGGCAGCAAGCGGAGGTCGAGAGTGGCATGGCGCGACCCCATGAGCAGACGCTCTTGAAGCGGTCTGCCGTCTACTACATGCGCTTCTGGCTCTACATCACGGGCCTCCAGGTAGACATCCTACATGCGCATGAGCTGCTGCATGAACGATGCGTAGTCGCAAGCTGCCTTATGGCGCAACTTGCTCCTCGACTGGCGCTTCCGCGGCTCGACCAAGGAAGGCCTCTACGTGCTGACGCGCAATCTACTGCATCTGCTGTGGCGCTCGGTGCGCCTTCTCATGGTTCCGGACGTCTTTTTCCGATACTTCGTCGCGACCTTCTCGCTGCAAATGCTGTTTGAGCTCTGGCAGCTCGTCAAGCAGCAGCTCGTCAAGCTCTGGCTTCAAACGTCCGCCAAAGGCCGCCGCAGCCTCAAGCTGCGCACGGCGCTCGCCAAGGCCAAGACGCTCGCGGAGCGCCAGACGATCGGGTCGGAGCTCGATGTCATCGAGGGCCACGACAAGTGGCGCAAGGACCCGTCCGCCGGGCTCTTCCACTACGAACGCGTCCAAAAGAAGATTGCCATGTACCGCCGCCTCATCGCCGAGAAAGACGTGCTTGGCATCATGTTTTCGCTCCGCGCGGGCCTCTTGCGCAAGCACTGGGGCCTCGGGAACCCCGCGTTGTACGACGTGAGCTACAGTACGTCGAACCTTTCTTGTCTGTAATGCGCTCATGCAGCGTCGGGTAGTCGGGACCAAGCACCTCGTCGACGAGTACTTGGACACGATCCTCGAGTCGATGGACCTCGTTTTGCGGGCCAAGGGCACCGAGTCGACGCTCGGGTCTGCCGATGACGTGAGCAAGCAAGAGCTGAGCATTGACAACAAGCTTGCGTTCTTCAGCGAGACGCGCCATGCGTTCGGGCGATCGGCGCTCATGCTCAGCGGCGGCGGTGGCCTTGGCTTGTACCACTCGGGCATCATCAAGACGCTCGTCGACGAAGACATTCTGCCGACCGTCATCTCGGGCGCGTCCGCAGGCTCGATTGTTGCGGGCTGTGTCGGCGTGCGCACGGACGACGAGCTCCAAGACGTATGAAGATCCGTGGCGTACTGGTCGACTCACAGGTATCTGTAGCTGTTTACGACCGAAGCACTCAGCCTCCGCTTCTTCGGCACCAACGTCACGGCCAGCGACATTGCGCAGTACACGCCGTCGTGGCTCGCGGCGCTCGAGGACGTGCTACCCAACCAGGCCTTCCGCAATGTGCAAGAAGCCTATGTCGTCGCGGCGCGCTTTCTTGACAAGGGCTACATCCTCGACAACGCGATCTTGAAGGAGTGCCTCCAAACCAACATGGGCGACTTTACTTTCCGCGAAGCGTACGACCGAACTGGCCGCATCATCAACATTACAGTCACGCCGTCCCAGTCCACGTACAAATTCCATATCTTACCGCGTCAAAGTCATCATGGTATCGTGATGTAGGGACTACCCGCAGCTACTCAACTACCTTACGGCGCCCAACGTGCTCATTTGGTCGGCGTCCCTCGCGTCCTGCGCGATTCCGCTCGTGTTTGCACCCGTAGAGCTGCTCGGAAAAGACCAAGT